AACCCTAGAACCCTAGAACCCAAACCCCCTAAACCGAAAGCCCTGTTTCGGAAGAAGGAAGCTTAGGGGCTGAGTACCCTAGCCCAAAAAAGGTTAAGCTTTTCAATTATGGTAGGATTATATAAGCCCCAAAAAGTTAAAGGTTACCAAACCCTAAACCCTAAACCCTAAACCCCTAAACCATAAACCCCTAAACCCCTAAACCCTAGAACCCTAAACCTCAAAACCCCTAAACCCCTAAACCCCTAACCCCAAACCCTAAACCCTAAACCCTAAACCCTAAACCCTAAACCCTAAACCGAAGGCCTGCGCGGCCGCCTCAGCGAAAACTCGGCCAGACGGCGCCGGCGAGGCGATGGCGATTTCATCCTTGGGGGGTTTGGGGATGTAGGATATAGGGCCTGTAAGGTTTGGGGTGGGGGGTTTGGGGATGTAGGGCCTGTAAAGTTTGGGGTTGTAGGGTTGTAGGTTGTAGGGTTTAGGGTTTAGGGTTTAGGGGTTTAGGGTTTAGGGATGTAGGGTTCAGGGTTTAGGGTTTATGGATGTAGTGCCTATGAGGTTTAGCGTCTAGGGATGTGGGGTTTTGGGGTTTAGGGATGCAGGGTTTAGGGTTTCGGGATGTAGTAGGGCCTATAAGCTTTAGGATTTAGGTGGCTGAAGTTGTTCCTGCTTTTTTTTGTGCATCGGCCCTTTTTCAATCCCTAGACGAAGTGGGGACGCCCGGCAAGGCGGCTCAGGCAGCAGCTCCCAGGCTAAACAAACTGAACAACCTCACCAGTGCCACGAAAGTGCCCGAATATCCTCACCACCTAAACCCTAAACCCTAAACCCTTAACCCTAAACCCTAAACCCTTAGGGTTTAGGGTTTATGGCTTAGGGCCGACGGCAGCACCAAGGACCCAGGCGTGATGTGACTACGAGGCCTCACAGCAAAGCTTCTACTGCAGTTTACTGCACAGCACCCCACATCACACAGCCCTTTCGGCTGCAATGCACAGGGGGTTAGGGGGTTCAGGGTTAAGGGCTATGGGGTTTAGAATTTAGGGTTTACGCTGTCAGCTTTAGAGTTTAGAGCTTACGATTTAATCTTGTCGGGGGGGGAGGGAGTGAGGGGGGGTATCGGGTTCTGGCCCTTGCTTTTGGGGGTCGGTCGAGAAGCCAGAGACCCTAGTCCTAAACTCGACGCATGTACGGGCATGTTCTACCAAGCTTGCAACAGAGGGCTTGGCTGCTTAAGTAAGATCTTTTTCGAGAAGGATTGTACCGGCAGACCGTGTTTTTCCCCACCCTCGGTGTGGGCTTGTTAGATTTTAAGTCTGCTATTACTCCTCGCCCTCCTCGTCCTCCCCGCCCGCTGAGACTACCTCCTGGAGTGCCCAACCCCACAGACTACCGTGAGAGTCCCTGGAGTCCCTGGAGTGCCCAACCTGACAGACTTCCGTGAGACCCACAGACTACCGTCTGGAGTGCCCAATCCCAACAGACTACCGGGAGACTCCCTGCCGTGGCCAACCCCACAGACTACCGTCCCACATACTACCGAAAGACTCGCTGGAGTGCCCAATCCCAACAGACGATCGTGAGACTCGTATAGGCTTGGCAAATGCATTATCTGTAGGGTGGGGATGTTCGAAGTAAAATATTTTTTTTTCGGTGCCGGCCTCCTTTCAGCCTCATGGAACCCGTCCAACAACCATGAACTATGGAACCTTTATGAAACCGGGAACTTCCTCGTTAATCAAAGGACCTAGTATAGACCCTATAAGCAGTATGAACCATGCTTAAGTGATCCAGCGCAAAAAAACACCCAAAACAGCGCCCCCAAAGCCATAGTATGAACCCGAAGCTTGGCCCTAAATCTGAATCGTACGATCCCGCGCAAAGGAAAAAATCTTAGGGGAACGTTTAGGGGCTAGAGTTTAGGGCTTAGGGTTTAAGGTTTGGGGTTTAGGTTTAAGGTTTAGGGTTTAAGGTTTAGGGTTTAGGGTTTAGGGTTTAAGGTTTAGGGTTTAAGGTTTAAGGTGAACTTGTGAAAGCAGACGAGAAGCCCGAGGAGCCTAAACCCTGGGACCCCGGACGAAGGCTCCGCCAAGGAGGCGGAGCGTCTCCCCCAATGCAAAGCCGACGGCCTCCGGCTGTAGGGTGTACTATAGGGTTTAGGGTTTAGGGTTTAGGGTGTACGATGGGGACCTTGAAAATTAGAATAGGGTTTCGGGGCGCATTAAAGGGATCTATAAAGGGTTCTATAAAGGGATCTAAGGACCCCCCAAACTAGTATCGTTAATTCTCTAGGTCTCTTATACTGGGGCTTCAGCGCTTTGGCGTTGGGTTTTGGAGTTCAGGGTTTGAGGGTTTAGGGTTTTCATGAATTCAAGGCTTTAGGGCTTTAACTTCGGCTTATTGGGGTTTTAGGGTTCAGGGGGCTTTTGTACGGTTGTGGCTTTAGGAGCATGAGGCTTGGAGCAGGCAATGGGAAGTGGCTGTTGGGGTTTTGGGGATAAGGATTGATTTTGCAGGTTCATATCTATAGGGCGAAGGTTGTAGATTTCGAGTTTGCCAGCTTTTAAGGTTGAGGGTTGTGTGTTTCGATTTCGTGGCTCAAGGTCTCGTTGAAAAAGCCTACATATCATGTGTAAGTTTCAGACCATTGGTTGGAACAAGGAAGTTACGGGTTCAACTCGTGGAAACCGTGCCAGTTATGTAGTCCCTTCGTAACCTCCAGGGGAAACGAACCTGTTACCCTAAAAGCTAAACCCTAAACCCTCTCTACTGAACATCTATAGAAGCCCTTAACTACCCAGGAAGCACCACTAGCGCCCACAACGGGCAGCTGCAAGTCACAGAGAGAACTGCAAGCTGTAAACCCTAAACCCTAAAAGCCTAAACCCTAAACCCTACACACTAAACCCCAAACCCTAAACCCTAAAAGCCTAAACCCTAAACCCTAGACACTTAACCCCAAACCCTAAACCCTAAAAGCCTAAACCCTAAACCCTACACACTAAACCCCAAACCCTAAACCCTAAACCCTAAGGATTGCGGAACCTAGCTCCCCAAACACGAACTATAACGCTGAAACTCAAGAGAAAGCACCCTGCGGGCTCAAAGAGTTGCCTCCTAAACCGGCACCCTGCAACCCGGACCTAAACCCAAAGCTTGCCCTCCTACAATATACTATGCTCTAGTATACTATATATAAAACACAATACATATACATCTATATATATATATATATATATTGTATCTTGTTGTGCTATAATATATTCTGTTCTATTATATTCTATTCTATTAAAACTCTGAGAGCTCCGTGCGTACTGAAATCAGGTTGGGGGTTAGGAGCTGAAGCTTTGGAGGATCTCAGGTGCGAGGCCCCGAGCCCGGGTCGGGGGCTTCGGGCGGCGATCTGAGGCTCTCCGTAACGGCTTGATGTTGCGTAATGTAGGGCCTTAGTAAGTACCCATACTATTTTGGGGGTTCCTTATTACAATCTAGTATCATATAAAAATTATATCTCCAAACCCTATTCTAATTGTTAAGGCCCCTATATTGGCACAGGGCTCCTAGGAAACTACAAAGCCCAACAGCTCCACCTGGCTTGCTCTGCGGCTTCCCGCACACTGACCCGGGGGCCACAACATCCCCTACTTGAGACCCGATCAGCGACAGCTCCGAAGGCAAGTCTCTGCTAGAACATAGGGCTTGCCATGATCCGACCACACAACAACCACGACGGCCGATGGAGGAGCGGCGACAGCCAAAAAAAAGAATAATAACCAATAACAATAACAAGAACCGGGACAGCAAGAGCAAGAGCAATAGCAACAGCATGCACACATCGACACACCCTGCTATTGAAAACCACACTCCTGCACTTCTGTGGAAGTGTAAAGAGCCCGACCCTGTTGACAACCTCTGAGCCCCCAAAACGATGCAAATTTGCGATTCGCCTTGGGATCGTTCTTGAAAACTCCACAGCCGGCATCTGGGAGAACCACACAGTTGGCGCTGGCCTTGCGCGGAGCTTGGGTTGTTGCCTTTGAGCTCTTCGGGGCTCTTGTTGAAGGAGTTTGAGTTCAGTGATTTATGGGGTGGGTATCGGCCTAGGTTCGAAAGCCTTATTCTCGAGGTCTTCGGGCTGAATTCGGCTTCGTTCTGGGCCAAGATGGATTTCGGCTCCTAGGTCTTACAGGCTTTTAACCTGAGGTGAGGTTCTCGCATGTAAAGGGGCAAGATCTCGGGCGCAGCGTGTGGGGATTGGGGTGAAGCGTATGGAGATTAGAAGTATCGACATAGATGGTCAAGATTGACAACCAATCATATGCACGGAGGTCTAACCAAATCAGCAAAGCTAAACCATAACAGCTAATGTCGACCCCTGATCAATGAACCCGCTCTCTCTAAGGACTGTTGTTGAAGATCCCTGTTCCAGCCCTTCTACGAGGAGGGGGTTCATAAATCAGGTGTCCTCTTTAAACAGAACCTTCCAGGACCCCATTAGACCCTCTGCTCTATGGTTCCTAGTAATAGGTACTCATAGTTAAAGGAAACTGCAGGTGGGGAGTTTGGGGTAAATAGGGCTCCTATAAGGCTTCTATAAGATATATAGGGCTTCTACAAGGCTCCTATAACGGCAACTAACCACCNNATGTCCTAGATATTACTTCTAGGCTGCAGCGAAGGCAGATCCAGGGTCGGGGTTGCATACAATTCAATGGAGTTGAATTCCAAAGCATCGAAGCACCTGTATCGGAGAATGCATGGATTGCTTCCTATATCGGCCTCAATCGCGGCCACGAGTGTTGCACGCCACCGCGACTTCAAGGCCTGTGTTTCGCGTTTAGGCGGGGTTTAGGGCAGCTTTGCATATACAATAGTGCCCCATAGGGATGTCAAAGACTTCCTAGGAGTTGGCTTGCAAGGATCCGATTATGTCAATCCTTTCCAGGCGGTTGCAAGGTGTTGAAAGGATTGAAGTCGGTCCAGAACGGTAACGCAGTTGCAAGTAGGCATGAATCTCCCCGCAACCCACCACAGCAATTCCAGACAAAACGCAAATACCAGGCAACACCACACAAGGCAACAACAACCACCAACCAACCAACCAACCAACCAACCAACCAACCAACCAACCAACGAACCAACCAACCAACCAACCAACCAACCAACCAACCAACCAACCAACCAACCAACCAAC